CACTTATGGGGTCCCTTCCCCACTGCGCAGGAACCTTGGCCCCCTATTAGGCACTACATGGGTCACGGGCAACTGGTCATATTGTAGGAGGACATCAAAATAATTTCTGACTGCTGCCATTGTCTTCCTGTTCAACAAACACAACCCAGAGCTTAATGAAAGCTCACATTTTTTAGTCTCAATTTCTGAGTACAGTGCTTGTATGTGATTTTTATAAAACAAATATGAAAATTGCAGTTTTGCTTACTTTACTGCTAAATGCTTTTCACATCTACAAATCACTCCAAAATGGCAGAGTATGAAGTGAGTTGAAGAATTTTTTTTATTTTCTTTACCAAAAGGCTTTACAATTCTTTAATCAAGAATGAAATAGGAGCACTGCCCTGGCCCATCTGAGAGGACTAATGAAATGAGAGTGCGCATCCTTTCTAGCCCCAGAAGTATGCTGTATATTTATACAAATTATGCAAACCTTGAGGGAATACAATACAAAGCCCGTAGTGCAAGTGAACTAAAAGACTAACACAAATACAACAAAACACCACAAGGGGAAATTCAGATTGTGCAGCACCTATGCACGTGTGTAAACAGGCCTCTTCCACATTGCATGATGGCAATTTCCAGTGTCCTCAGAGTCCCCTTCCCTCAATAAATGTTGCATCTCAAGTTGCATCTCACAGAGTGCTGGAGAAGGGCTGGTACCTGGACGAGGAGCTGTCAGTCCTGGACACATCTCTCGCTCATGGCCACCAGCGCAGCACCATCTGCTGGGAACATACACACTTTGGATAAATCTTTCCAGCACCAGCGTTTGTCACCACCTGTCCTCCTAAACACATGACACCCAGAAAATTTCCAGCCCTCTGCTTTTAAGCCCTTTTTTTCAGCAAAGATGACATGATTAACCACCACAAGCTAATCAGACTGCTAATTGAGCAATTGGCAGCTTGGAAGACTTGGCATAAAGCACAATATAGCACACAGAAAGTTTGCATTTTAAGGTCCTATTCAAGAAGTCATTTCAACACAGTGGTATCTCATGTGCACAGGTTAACTTCATGGGCAGACATTTTCAAGAGATTGTTACAGGTCAATGATGCTAAAATGAAGCCAGGAACCTGAGGCAGGGCCCCTTGGACTGAGCAATGTTTTTCAGTGTTCAACCCTTCCAAGGAGACTAGTTTCAGACATCCAAAAGTAAGACAGAAAAGGCAAGGATTAATTTAGAAGAAGGTGCTGCTAGGTGAGAGATCTAAGCTAGTGAGAATAGCACTAGCTGTGTTGTTGTGCCAGTGTTAAATCTGCGGAAGAATTAGTCACATTTCCACAGTCAAAACTAAGCTTCATTATAAAGTAGCACATCAACATCTTTATTAGCTATGAAAAACACCATGCACCCTCCCAACATTAACAACAAGAGCCAGCTGGAAAATTTTGGCAGGTTTTTTTTTTATTTTTCTCTCAGAATTTTTTTTCGTCTCAGAAAAACATCCATTGGAGGGGTCTGAACCTTTGGTGGAAATCAGAAAGATTCTACCCTGAAAGGGTACTCCAGGACACAATTTCTGCAACCTCAGAAGGGCTGGTTAGGCCCTTCTGGTTAGGGCAACACACTGAGACAACTATACTGCTGCTGCTGCAGGAAACACCTCAATTTGTCCTTCCTCTGGGATCTTCTCACCCCATTCCATTATGTGGCACAGGCAGGACCAGAAAGACATTACTGAAAAATGTCCAAACTTGTTGCTTACAGAAAGAAATACTCTATTCAGTGAAGGTTTCATGGGTTTGGGGTCAGGCATTTTTGGCAAAACCTAAATTCTTAGATCTCCTTCAAAAGGAAAACAAAACCTTTGAAAACAAAGGATCCCTTAGTATGATGTATCTTAGAGTGAGTTGAACTACATTATATTATCTTAAGGTATAAACTTTACACTGAGTAAAAGATATAGCAAAAACGCCCAGCAATTCCCAACGGAGTGGTAGGCATTATTTGGTGTCAACTAACCAGTTATACATGCTGTAAAGTGATTAAAGATGACAGAATATATCACAGTTAGAGACCAGATGCACTTAGGAGACCCAATTGGAGAGCCAATTCATCTAGTTTCTTAAAGAAACTCTTCCACTCCTATTGTACAGACAAGTCTGCTTGTGTGTTCAGACTTTCAGCAAGAACTAACTTTCTATTCCCTAAGAATACCACCATAGATTAACAATCAAGAAAGGGCCATCCATTATGTTTTTCAGATAAATGCTTCCTGTTTATCAATGTATCAAAGTATGACTAGGTTTTCATCACTATCTGGCTACAACTTTGCAAATTCACTACACTGACATGTCATTTGCTCCATGATGGAATTTGCAAGCAAGGCAGCCATTCATTCCGGAAAAATCCAATCTACTACCCACAACCTATATTTCTCCTAAAACATTTTATGATTCTGGAAAAACAATTCATATCATGAAAATTTTATAAAATAGCAAGGAAAATTGAGCATAAAAATCTATATAAATACCCAGCTGTAACAACCTCTGGCATTTTAATTCAACATAATTTAATTTCCTTCTCATAAAAATGGTTTTATTTCACAAAAGGTACATTTTAACACAGGGATTGCTATAATTTGAATATTCTGAATGACAGTCCTGATTAATTCTTTTTTCCAACTACTTTTAGCAACAAAAAATGAACAGGAGGGAAGGTCACTGAGACCAGCAGTGTTCCTGAATCCAGCTGGAGACTGCTAGCAGCAGCTATTTACAGCTTGAGTAGACAAATCCACAAGCCCCAAATATTTTTCAAGTGCTAAATCAATTAGTCAATATTTAAAGGCCATGTATAATAAAATTCTTTGTTCAGTTGCCCCTGCAAATGTTACTGCTGTTATCTCACATGTACAGGGCACAGTGGCAACTTCCAGGCTCCATCAGCTGATGTCTCACTCTGGTTCCCTGACCCAAAAGCCTGAAATTTAAATGGTGAGTCTTCCCGAAAGGATATGAGAAGTTTTCTGGGAGGGGATAATAAAAATGTTTAGGTTTTGCATCCTAGTGAATACTATTGCAGCGGATATAATTCCTTTTCAGAACAGTACCTCTCAATCTCCACTTGACTAATGAGGCATGTTGGTTTAGCTTGGTTTTTATAGCAAAAATAGACTATATACTATAGCCTTTTTATAGGCTATGTACTAATTCATATTATATAGCTTGAAGCCTTCATGCATGGTGGAACAGCAAGCAGAAGGAACAGAAGTGGCAGTCTCCTCACAGAGCATGCCAAGATTTCTCTTTCCAAGTCTCCTGCTTCTCCTGTTTCTTTTCCTTCTCCCAAAATGCAGGGGCTTGTACATGTGTGAAGTCTGACTGTGATGACAGAGCACAAACTCCAGCTCATGGGGTCAACACATGCTGGTCAGCAAAGTTTGCTGTCACCCTGAAAGAGAACAACAGATACAAAATCCGAGGTGAGTGTTCCAGCATACTGGTTCTGGCATGGAGGGATTTGTTGTTCTCATTCACATTGGGGTATGCCCTTAGCATCCACTCACACATAAAAGACATAGATGTCAGAGAAATCTGGCCATTGATTTCCAACAGCTTTCAGGCCATCTTTCAATCCTTACATCACCCATTCAAAACAAAGAGTTGGATAAAACATCACCTAAGGCTTCAAAGCCTGAGGCCACTGCTCTGCAAAGTGAGAGCAGAGCTTCCTAGCAAGCCCCCAGCCCAGTAGTGGACGGCTGTGCCTGCCAGAACCAGGTGCCAGAGGGTCCTGCATAATTTTTATATTTTAGCAACATTTGTGTTGGGTTTTGTCCTGCTAATAACATCCAGTTGAATCCAAACAAAACTGACAGTCTCTGCCTAGCATTCCCTGCTCAAGACTGCTGGGGACAAAAGGGGTACCACTGGGGTGCAAGAGTTTTTTACTAAGAGATCAGGCAGTGACTTGTACAGGACCATTTCATTGCTTGTTCTCTGGAGTTAAGCTATACCAAGAAAATCCATTGCAGAGCTCTACTCAACTCCATGTGTAGCCTCCCGGCAGTGCAGTACGTCCAGTGCACCAACAAATTCCAAAGTGAATGTAAGGACTCAATGCAGCCTCTGAACCCCCCATAATAACCTCCTTCCCATCCCACTCCACACAAAATATTTATTTGGGGAAAGAGAATAGGACGATGAGGGTATTGGAAAACAGGTCTCTGGAAAAGCAGCAACAAAATTAAATGCTGCACATAGTTCTTGACTTTTTTAATGAGGCAGCAATGTGTTTATTTATCTTTCTGTTTTAACAGATACCACCTATAGAGTAAGGGAACATATTTTATTCACAGAAGCCTGTAACTACACCAAAGGAAAGATGTTAGTTAAAAATATCCAAACAGATTCCTGATTAGAAATAATTATTTGTCTTTGGTTATAACTTTTAATTTCCTCAGCAGCCAGGAACAAAAAGCTAACAGCCCTCAGGAAGACCACAATGCAGATTTATGTGACAAACATAGATGTGTAAATGTTATGGGATGGTGGAGAAAAGACAAGGTATCAAGTGTATCCTGCGGCACAGGAAAAGGTTTCAGTTCAGCATGTGCCTAGCCCCAATCATCTTGAATCCCTGAAGGCATCATTCTTAGCCCACATAAGGCAACTGACTGATTTCACTTGTCTCTTTTCAGACTGTTGAGCATACAAAATGAATACAAATTATTACCTGTCTGTTTTCAAGGTTCAAAACAGAATAGGAAACTCAAACACAAGGTGCAAAGATAAATAACAATTTGCATATGCACAAGAGCAACTTATATACTTTTAATGTAAATAAATATATTGTTTACATTTATTTATAATTTCATTACCCAGCATTAACTATATATATAAATGATTTTTCTGTAAATTCACATGGACCAAGGAAGAGGCTCATTTATTGGAACACTCCTGAAAAATCATTCAGATGCACCACATATGGAAACATATTATTCCACCTCAGAAAGTGTTCATGTCTTCATGTCTTCACCATGTCATCTCATCTTCTTGAGATGGCTCATTCAGTTGTTGTCAGCTGATTGACCTGGGGATCAGGAATATAACTACTCACTTTAGAATTCTACCAATGTAATAGTAATAATATTATTATTATTTGGTATTATGCAAAAACTACAGTAGAATCATTACTAATAATGAGGTTTCAGAGCTGTCGTGTTACATTATTAAAGGATGTTTTCCCTATATGGTGTCAAAGGAATTGTTCTAGAAAGCGACAAGGCTGAAGGGTAGTCCAGCAAATAATTCCTCCTTTAACAGTGAAACATCTAATTTCTTCAGTAATTACATATTTGTCTACACCAACAGGTACTGAGACATTCTGCATTCTGATCAGCTCTCCTCAGTCACGGAGTTGTTGTTTGTGGGAAAATTACTCCAGAAATAACACTTTCCATAATTACTTACGTTCTCAGTCTGACCCACCAAATGACATCCAAGCTGAAGAGTGGACGCTCTTGCAGTTAACACAGTATGGAACCTGGGGCATCACAAAGACATCAACAATCCTCATGCTGATTAGAAAAATATTTATCTAGGTGAAGAGATGAAAAAGAAATTATCTGTCCCCAAATGCTGGCTAAGCAGCAGGGCATACAGACAGGGAGCATTTAGATTTCAAATAAACCTGTCTTCTCATACACAGAATGCAAATAACTAAGATATCACTTGGAGGTTATGACCCAGACACTCAGCCCATCAAAGTATGAAGATATGCAAGTGAAGACAATATTAACCCAATAATGTATGCTGAATGCAACTCCCTGCTAAATGGGTGCCTTGCTTTGACTTAGCATCAATGAATTTTACCTCTAACCCTCACTAAAGCACCTAATATGTCCCTGGTTTATCTGAAGATAATTTTCTGCTGTTTTCAAATAGCATAACTAATTACAAATGAAAAAGTAAGAAGATGAATGCAAAAGTAAGTAAATCTCTGTTCTCCTCTCCTCTTTCCTACACAGCAAGATGTTGCACACATGAACCAATAATGTCAGCTTTCATGCAATTATTCCCATAGATTATCCTGGATATGCTGGTGGGAAAATGTTCAGTGTTAAAGAAAGCAAACATTTTAAAAGGGTTGTGTGCTGCTTTGGTTAGAGGAAGCTTTATAGTCAGTGCATTGTGCGATACAGTCAGCATGGCTGAAACAATTACGTTTCATCAACTGTAAAAGGTACTTTCATTGCTAAAGAGTAACACAGTCTCAAAAAAAAAAGTAAGCAACAGATATTTCCTAGAGATCTGGAGCTCTAAAAAACACAGAGGAACTGTAAATACGCTCCTCAGGTTCAAAACTACATATACCAACTATATAACATATTAAGGGATGTGAGCTGATGCTTATGGATGAATCATTCAAGGAAGAAAAGACACAGCAAGTTATTCTGAGGCTCTATACTTGTCAGCCACCCTGGCACTATTAAGCAGAGAGAGATGGAAAGCCTTAATGGATGACCATAGCACAAGAAATTGAACCTAGGAGCCAGTCACTGTTCAATGCCCAACAGCAAGATTAATTAGGACTCAGATTTGGGTTCCAGTTTGCGATTGATCACTGTCACCATTCAAAGTTCAGGCTGTCTTTACTTTTCCTAGGAGTACTGCTGAAGATGATCCCCCACTGTTTCTTCAGTCAGTCTGAATCACAGAAAAGTTTCCTATGACTGTGTTTAGTCTTCACCACTCCTTTCTTTTTTTAAGAGTGATTTTCTGAAGCCATTTTATTGTTCTGTTTTCTAGCAATGTTTTCACTGATTATCTACTGGTTTATCGCATTCTATCTATGCCTTACTGCACCCCTACCATTACTATTTCTATGCCTTTTCTAGCTCTGATTAACTCAACTTTCATTTCCTTTTTCCCTTTCTTTTTTAACTTTCTGATCTAGAAATCACACTTCATAAGCTTTTTTGGCAGGAGGATGGAGGCGTCATGTACTTGCTGGTGTGCAGATGCTTTCCTCTATGTCCCACATCTTTTTCATCCAGCCACCAAAAGAAGTTGATTCTAAAGGCAGATTTAGTGGTAGGTACATGGTTATGTATTATCTAGTTAAAGCAAACATGTTTTATTTAGAGAATTTTAAAATAAATTCAGACTGAAAACGTAGTTCTCTATTTGACTAGTTGATCCTCTACTGCATCTCTCTCCTGCATTTGTATTTTTTGAATCTCTAATTCCAGCTAGCTAGTTAGTTTATTTCTTAGACTTATAGCAGTGGAAATTTTAAAAAGAGCCATGAATGGAAAGGAATAAAACAGAATACAAACCTTACACAGGAGCTGCCTTGTGGAACCTTAAAACCGATTAGTGCCACTTTCTGTAAGGTTCAGATCAAATGTGATTATCTGGAAAGTCAGTCTTCCAGAATAAATGTCAAGCAGCATGATTACCAAAAAAAAGGCAAGTGGTATGGATGACTTTCAAGCCTTGTAAAGCTCAGTGTGAGAGGTCCTTATCCCTTCTATGACTATCCTTTGACAGAAACCAAAGGAGCACAACAATTGCCAGTGGAAATTGATTCCATACAATCAATAATTTTGATTTTCTTGCTGCCACAATTCAGTAGTAAATTAGGAATCAGAGGATCTATCAAGAAATGCCAGATGGTTCATTACGAAATACAGCAGCTGTCCTTTTTCCTCCAGTGACTCATTTTAAACTGGTGGAAAATGAAGTTACTTTAATCTGCCCTGTACAGCTCTATAATAAAAACAGACACCAAAACAAAGGTTGAGATATCCAGCTACTCACTGGATTCAGGTGAATCCAGTCTACCATCATGATGCCACGCAGCGTAATCACTCAGCCGTTTCACAAAACAGATCGTGTATTTCCACCGAGGTACCTCTGCTCTCAGCACTGTACTGGCCCTTGTCCAGCAGAGCTCATAGTGTCAGGGCAGACAAGCAGACAGCTGTCAGTATAAACTGGATCAACACTACACAGGTGAGCTACCGAGGACATGAATCGAACATGCACATTGCACCTCAAGCCCAACATGGGTAGTTTGCACGATTCTCATTAGATGCCATATCAAAGGTGGCTCCTGCCTTAAGTCCTCAGAGTGAAAACCCAAGGCAGCTTTAGAAGGATATACATGAATGGCTTGAGAAAAAAAAAACACTTCTTACTTTAACAGATTAGCAATACACCTATTTCCAAAACACTCGTGTATTTAAATGGAAAGCAGAGGATAAAGCAGTTACTTAAAAATCATATCAATGTTTACTATCTTTGGATTCTACCTTTGCAAACCTAATAGCTCAGAACTGTTAATAAATAAATCCTTGGGGTTAAAATAGGATAGGTTCTTAAATACACTGGACTAAAACTCTTTCCTTTTTCAATTTAGTTGTATTACTTAAGGGCTTAATTTGGTGTGTTTTAAGAATGTAACAGATCAGGAATATTCTTCAGAGCTCAGTCTCAGTTATTACAGCACAGCCAAACTCTTTTCACTAAGGTTTGCTAGAGATAACAAATCTATCCCTCAGCCAAGCATGAAGATGCAAGCAGTATAAAAATAAGTGGTCCGGGGGGACATTTTTCACATTGCCTCACAAAAAATGCCCAGTTCATTTTTGAGTTAATTCTTTCCAGTTCCCTAGCTAAAAAAGACAACTTAATTCCTGTTGCTAGGTGAGTATATTAGCAAAGTCTAAAATAGAGCCTAACAAAAAAATTATATGATTTGCTCACCTATGTAGTTGGATTATATGTTTATAAATTTCGATCTTTTGAAAACTTTTGGAAGATTACTCAAATGTATCATTGTCAGATCTGCAGCCTCAATTTCTCCACTCTAGCAATGTAAATTATATTGGTTCAGGAGTTAAGTGCACACACTCCTCTGAGAAAAAAAAAATAAAATTTTATGGACTTTATATAAATGTAGTCACACAAGTTCCTTTTTCCTGCTTGGAAATTGCCAGGCACCTCTGAGTGTACTGGTTATTCTGGGCAAAAAATGTTTTAGGGACTAGGATTCCTTTTTTACTTTCAGACACTCAGTACTTCATCTTTCTATTACTGTCTTTAAGTGTCTATGATGAACAAGAAATCACTGAAACTAAGCAATAGATCAGCAAAAGTTGAATCAGTTCTAAAACTTAGATATGGCATTTAGATGTTGACATACAGGACTACAAAACTCAAGAGAAATAAGCTTTTATCTTTATTTCTAAACAATATATAATTTTAAAATAAAGTTTAAACATTTCCTTGTAGTATTATTAATTCAAATGTGGTTGGAATGTGAAAATAACCCATTTTTTTCCTTATGCTGTTTATTTTTTAAAGTTATTTCCACTTTAATAACCTACAGTTTTAATAAACATTTGACACAGAACTTCTTTAAATGTCTACATATTAAAAATCTCTCTTCTTTCAAGTATTCTTAAAAGATGGTTAAATTGATCCACTTTGCAAGACTATGTTTATACTACCTCTTTTTAGCCGTATTGTAAACTGAATGCAATCTGTTTTTTAACATAATCCACAGCTGCTTCAAAGTGTCCTTTCTGAAGCTCTAGCCCTTTTTCCAAAGGATTTTAATCCAGAATGTCTTTAATTAGTATTCATGTCAAGTAAATTTTATTCATTTTATGAAAATCTGGTTTGAGTAGAGTTTTCATCATTGTAAATAACTGAATATATATTAAACTCTTAAAAATTATACTGGAGAGCAGTAAAATCATTTATATGCCATTCTTCCAGATTTTCTTTACTACTGCTTTTCAGCATATCTTTTTCTTCCTCATCTCGCTATAAAGCTTAAAAGACTCTATTACACACTGGAGAAGGCTAAATGGTTAAGTTTTGTCAGAGCTGAATGTCATATGTAATACTGGCTTTGCAGAATACTGACGATAAATGCTGTTAAGTCCCTTTTATTGGGTCCTTTCTGCCCCAAGGACCAGAAGCACGATACAGAGCCAATGGAGAAACTGTCTAAGACATCTGTATTTTCTGCTTTGATTAGTTTTAGTTAACCACTCGCTGACTTATTTGTTGTACTTAAGTATGTGCATGTTAAGAAGATGGTAAGCAAACAAAAGTTAACAATGTCCCAGCCTGTCTGTTCTTTCTTCACCTATGAAGAGCTTTTACCAAAAATCCAAAGTTACCTGTCTTTATTTGTACTGAGGTGTATTATCTCTACCTCTAGATGGAGAAGCAGAGATAAAGTTACATGGGCTGAAGTCACCGAATGAGCCAATGCCAATTAGTAAAATATGCCCTTTCAACTACTGTTTTACATCCACTGTACTGCATTTCCAGAAAGCTGTGACACAGGTCTCAAAGGAGGATGCATTAAATGTGAACACCAGAAAGTACTAAGTCAGAGTGAAATGAATTTGAATAAGGCACTTGATCCCTCAGAGACCACTTGTGAACAGAAAGGGACTGCTTGTAGGACACGGTCATTTACCAACCATGTGCAATTTTGCTAATTGTATTGTTGGCATTAGAATATCACCTTATTAAGTTTAATAACTTGTGATTTTCATAGCACCTACATAGCACCTGCTCAGACTGAATCTTTGTACAACATTGGTTTTGTAAGCTAATTTCTATATGTTTACATTATCACACGGTGGATGGTCCTGAAGTTTTAGTATTCTCCACCACCTGTGTGGAAACTATCACCACACTCAAAGCCCAAACATTGACTTTTATTGTTTTCTGACTATATAATCTGTTTGAGTGATGTTTTCCATAACATTAGCCCTGAGAATCTGTGTTATTTTAAATACAAAGTTGATGTCCTCAGTACAAGAGACACTGGAGCTCCCGAAGCAGGTCCAGCAGAGGGCTACAAAGATGATTAAGAGACCAGAGCATCTGTCTTAGGGGGAAACGCTGAGGGAGCTGCGCTTCTTCAGCCTTCAGAGAGGGGACATCATCAAAGTTTGTAAGTATCTAAAGAAGGGGTGCCAAGAAGATGGAGCCAAGCTCTTAGTGGTGCCAAGCAATAGGACAAGAAGCAACTCGCAGAAACTGATGCACAGAAGTTCCACCTGAATATGAAGAAGAATTTCTTTACTGCGCAGGTGCACTGAAAGAGATTGCCCAGAGAGCAATCCCACTGGAGATATTAAGGAACACAATGTTGCTTGAGCAGGCAGGTTGGACCAGATGACCCACTGTGGTCCCTTCCAACCTGACCCGTTCTGTGATTCCGTGCAACAAGCACATGACCCCTCAGCGTTGGAGTTGGAGGGTTCCTGAAGCATTGTGCATGAGGCAGATAATACTGCTTCACTGAGGTGGACGGAACACCTGAAGGAACGGGCCAGCCTGGGTATTTTCCTACGCGACTCGCACCTCGGGGCGAGCTGGGCGTTTGGTCGCACGGTGTGGCAGTTCCACACAGAACCCCGTTACCTTGGGCGCCCCATGAGCCACGGCTGCGGCCGGGCCCGGCAGCTTCGCACGGGGCTTCGGGCAACATGGGAGCAGCACTACGGCGGTGCACCCAAACCACAACACCACCGCCTGGCCCAGCGTCGCAGACGCCAAATCCCCGCGGTGCGGAAGAGCCGCTCTTGCCATCCCCATGCTGAGCCCCGCCCCGGTGGTGGGGGTTAGGCGTGAGGCGGCACTGCTGACTCTGCGGGAGGGCGAGCGCTGCCGGGACGGGGCTTCTGTCAGGTTCTGGACGGCTCCGCGCCTCGCCCCGCCGCCTCGCCCTTACGCCGCTACTGCCATTACCCGCCGCGGCGGCAGCTCGGCCCTGCGGGCGGGCAGGCGGCGCTTGGAGGAGGCGTCAAGAAACGGATCGGTGGACGAGGGTAGAGGGTGAGAGGGCGTCGCGGGTGGCTGCGGTCAGCGGCTGCCTTGAGTCTGGGGAGGCGCGGGGCTTCTTCCTCCACCGCCCTGCTCTGTGAGGGGTTGTTGCGGGCTCGGGGTGGGGAGGCTGTCGGGAGGGGCTCGCCTGTGGCCGTGGCCTTTTCCTGAGCGGCCTGGGTTTTCTGTCAGCCAGGGCCCCCTCGGGTGACCCGGGAGGCCTGAGAGGGGTTGTGCTCCTCTCCGAGGTGGGCCTGTGCCCGCTGCGGGTGCCGGGCTTTCACTGGGGTGCACCTGCGAGCGGGTTTTGTGGGTTCTGCTGCTGTCTTTGCGCCCCCGAGATGCCGCGGTTGAGGTCAGGGAAAATGGTATCAGCCAGCGAGGTGGGGCCGTTTGGCTGGGAAGGCGCCGGCCCCGGCTCCCAGGATGCAGCGTGTGAGCCAGGGAGAAAGCTCGTAACTATGCGGAGTCCTCGCCTGGCGCGGAAGAGAAAACCAGAGCAGCCCTTACCTACCTGCGTGCAACCTGCCAGGCTCGCCAGCGCTTCCTTTGGGCAGTTTGCTCCTCTTTGGCCCGTGCAGAAGGAGCAAGGCGAGGAATTCCCAGGTAAAAAACCCAGGGGGATACAGCACAGGGGGGCTGCCAGAAGCAGCAGCGGTGTAGCTCCGCCAATTTCAGACACAGCCGAGAGTGAAGATCGGCAGGCAGCAGGTACGGGTGCAGCAGTAGGCTGTGAAGAGACTGTAAGGAGAGGAACAGGGCAAAGTCAACAGCTGTTTTTCTCAGGAACTACTTTGCAGAATAAGTTCTCAGAAGGGATTGAGAGGAAAGAACATTGCTCAGACCACGTGGACCTCTCAGTTTTCCAAGAGGATTCAAGGAGCTCAGAAAAAGACGGCAAATACGGCTGTATGGAAATAAAATTACAAATTCCATCCTCAGAGGAGGAAATTGAGAGCGCAGAGAGACATGGCATTTCCTGTCTTCCAGAATCAGAAAGGGTGCAACGCAGAAAGGTCACATGGAGTACTGAAATGAAATGCACTGACTCAGTAATGATGCAGAATATGCAAATCCCTGATCTTAGGGAGAATTTGGGGGGTCAGGAAGCCATGACTGAAACAAAACGTCAGGAAGAGATTGATATACCAGAGAAGATGAATGGGTGTCCTTTAGTTGGATCAAGACAGCTAGGGATGCAGGAGAAAGAAAGGAAATGCTTGAGCAAGAAAGGTGGGGTATCATTGATGAAACCAAAACTATACAGTCCCAGAAAGAAAGGTAGTTCTGTCTTGCTAGAACTGCATGCACAGTGTCCAGAGTCCAGGAAAGGAGCTCTGAATATGAGGAAGAGGGATAGAAATGCACTGGTACAGGGTGTAGATGGACAAGAACCACCAAGAAGACGAAAGACATACAAACGTTGCATGAAAGAAGAGTGGCAGAGCTCAGTCCCTCAGAAAGGAGCAGATAGCCCAGGGGAAAATGGTAAGCACTTGGAGAGCCCCATTGTAGAAGTACAGGTGCAGAATTTGGGCTCCCAGGACAAGGGACCAGTGCTGCAGTATGACCCCTTTAAAAACTGGCTGCTAACTTAGTTGAAGCGTAGAGATAAGAGCTAGGGTGTGCTTTAAAGTACTGTGAATAGAAGTCTTGGAAGAAAACAGATTTTTAGAAAGAGGAAAGGCTTTTCTTGAAGGAGAAGCAGCCTTTAACACAAAGAAGAGGAGACCAGTTGCCTTTTGGGGAGGTATCAGGAGGGAGGAAGGGTGAGGGGGAGAGAGAAGGGGTATTGGCAGCAACAGGCCCTGGATAAGGAGTACTGGAATTTGCTTCTCTCAAAAGCGGTCTGCCCATTCCTTCAGAGAAGGTCAGGCACAAGCAGGAAAGGAGGCAGTAGTTTCAGGAAAGCCAAAATAAGAGTCAATTCTTCATTCATCTGTATATTGTCCATTTATTTTTGAATATATATCATGCTGTCTTGTTTCAGTGCCTGCCTTTACAGGATGCTGGGGTTTTTTTCCAAAACATTTTGCTTTTTAATTGCTATTCTCTAAAATCCTAAAAGATGTAGAAACAATGATCGTATTTTCACATTTTAAGTGACTGTTGTATCAAACTGGAACAATTTCGAAGGGGGATTCTTAAAAGTCTCTTTATTTTTTCACAATGATTGTCTAAAAGGCATTCTTCTTACTTTCAATGTGGGTACATTCAAATGACAAATATTTACTGTAGATTATTAATAAATGTTTTATCTAGAAACCATATTCTGAAAAACTGAGATCAAAATTGTATCTTTGAAACCTAAGATCTAAAAAAACCCACATCTACTAGTGTGTTCTTGAGTACATTTTCTAGTCTAAATTTTCAGATGTACTGTTTTTTACATAATCTGTATTCGCTTTGAAATAAAAAGTCGTAGTCTATAAAAATGCAAGTCCTGTAGTTTCGCTGGATCTTGTTCAGTCTAATGCATTTGGTTGGACTCTGTATCTGAAATATATTCTTCTGAATAAGCTTTCCTATTACAGAGATCCTACTGTGTGAACAAAAGATTTTAAGGCTGAGTGTGCAAACAGCATCTGCGTTTTCATGCCAGACTTGCTCTAATTTGGTTTCCACCTCTGTGGAATGTATAACAAATATACAACTTGCAATGCCCTTATGATGCCTTAAGGTTTTGTTAATATTTGCATTTGTTTCTTAAAATAAGACTTTAAGTCTGCTGATAGTGTTCATTTTTTAAAAATGGTAAAACTTTACAGAAATATCTTAGCCTTATCCAGTGTCATGTTCTTAGTAGCCTTGAATGTTGGGGTTTGGTTTCTTTTGTTCTCTTCATAAAATATTGCAATAGGGTAGTCTTTTAGTGTTTTCTGTGCTTTTTTAATCAGCAAAGGAACAATTGAAAGCAATTGAGCAAGATTCCGGTGCTTCACAGGCTGTGAAGAAGGTAAAGACAGAGCAAAACAGATCAGAAGATTCTAAGGAAATGGAATCTCACTACTCTAAATCTCCTATGGTTGCTGCTCTAGGTGGGACTCAAAGCAAGAGCTTTCTATGCCATGCTGTAACAAAAAAGTCTGGTGTGCGGTATAAAGAAAGTCAGCCTAAGAAAAGAAAACCCAGAAATGGTCAAATCAAGCACTTGCAAAGTTTGACTGCAGCTGAAAAAGTGATGAACACATCTGTAAAATGTGATGCTGAATGTTGTAGAAATGCCCTTAAACATCGTAGTGGCTTGCTCTGTGCAACAGAAAAGGATCCATATGTGAGATTAGAGGACTGTAGTTACATCAATACATTAGTGAAGCTTTCAACTAGTGGAACTACCAGCAGTTATAAATTAAATGGATTTTTTCATGTAGCCCATGGTACTGTAGAAGTGAGTGATACAATTTGCAGCAATAGTAGAATGCCAAATAAGATCTCACCCATAAAAGGTGGTTTATCGTCTAATGAAGAAAAAAATGAAAATGGAGAAGGCTATCTTTCATGCTGTCTGAGTGAAAGCAATAAGTGTTTAAGGGAAAAAAAGTGGAATATTGGTAGGAAGCCTAGAAAAAAGATGAAAATCACAGAGAAATCAGCCGTGCAGAATACTTTCACGGACATGGCTAATGAATGCAGTGAGTGTGAGTTACAAGCAGAAGCAGCAGTTGCAATATCAAGCTCCTTTGCAGTTTCAGGACTAAATCATACTCTGTCAGATTCACATGATGATGAATTAAATCTTTATATGGGAAAAAACACTCATGAAGCACAAAATATATCAGCCTGGAGAACGAAGAGTACTAAAGTACCTGCATTTGAAAATGCCATTAAGAAGAGATCTGAGCTCTCTGTAATAGCGAAAGGAGAAAATTCAAGCATTGTGGCACATCAGTCAGCTGCCTTAGGTACCCTGAGAGCGCTAGCTCAGGTCCATGATGCTTGTGACTGTTGCAAAAGCAAGACAGGGGGAAAATTGAACAATGTTAATAAGGAATTTCAGCAGTTTACCTGTCAAAGAACAGTACCCATGACTGGTAAAAAAATTTGGCCTGTTGAATCTTGTGCCAGGACTTCTGAATGGGTTTATAAAAATCATGGGTCCATCTCAGAAGGAAGAAGACTTTTAAAAGTTGCGTTTGAGGATTCCTCTGATAAAAGCAGTGTTAAAGCTGTAGGAGGTAGTGCTGTGACTGGGAGTTTGAGACAGTTGGATTTGCCTGTGTCATCGGCAGAAATTACAAAAGAATCTGCACATAAAAGAATTGATCCAAATACTGAATGTCAGACTTCACTTGAAACACCAGAGCCCTCTTCTGTAGATATTTACAAGACTTTGAGAATGAGTGATGAAAATGGGGAATCATCAGTTAATGCAGATAGAAGTGGTTTGGCTTTTAACCATGATGATGTGCAAGAAGTTAAAGGAACCTGGAATCTTACAACCAAACAAAAAGATAAAAATGACAGAGATGTAACAAATAGAAACTTGTCTGAGACGGTCCCGAAGGGTACAACAAAACAAAAAAATAAAAGTGAAGGAGAGGTAACAACTGAAAACCTGTCTGTGACAGTCCAGAAGGGTACAACAAAACAAAAAGATAGAAATGAAGAAGATGTAACAAAAAGAAATCTATCTGTGACAGTCCAGAAAGGTACATCTACACGTGACACAAACAGAATAAACTTTAGCTCCAAAGTGTCAGTAGTGAACCAGACATTTTCTGATTTAAAGCTAATTAAACCTGAAAACCTGACAAAATTCAGAATTCCTTTATGTAGAAACAAACCTGAATCCAGGAAATTGGAATCTGTCCATTCATTTGAAAGAAAAACCTGCAGTCCACTAGAGCTTGAAAGCACTGGTGTTTCAAGAAGACAGAAGACAGGTGAAGAGACTGTCCCGGTAAATTCTGAGCAGCACCCTTTTCCTGTCATGAGTGATGCTACATCTACAGCTTCTATAAAGAAAAAAGCATATGAGATTGACAGTAAGGACTTTCAGCACAATGGCTCCGAAAACTTCTCAAATGGGATATTTGTGCTCCCCAAAAATTTTTCTTCATATCGACATCCTCTTCTTGATGGACAACCAGAGTCATCTGTGCCTGATTTTTCCGGTTCTGAATGTGTGTTGAAACCTAGTTTTCCTGATTGTTCTTGGAATTCAGTTGACCACCCTGTTGGATTGCAAATAAGTGATGATAGCAAATCAAAAGAGATTCTTTCACAACATAAAAGTGAAAATTCACCAGATATTTTTGAAGCTTACAAGCAAGATATTCTTGTCATTGATGTGATTCAGGATGACCCTGATCTTTTTGGAACCAATAATGAAGAGGAGCTAGCCCTTCCATGTGAAAATTGTCCAGTGAAAGTGTCCTCTACTAATATCTGCATTAAAGACACAAAGCCCGAGTCTCCCATTACCTCAGAAAAGAGACATGCAGTTGAGAATAGTTCTGGGTATGCATATAGTTCTTTTTTTTCTTACAATGCTCCTAAGTACTTTTTTCTCATGTACTTTGATTGTAGTGGCCAGGCTTCTTTAAAGAATAATTTCTGGGTTGCTTCTAAGTGTCAAATTTGATTAAGGTATGTCAGTATTCTGAATCCAGATAAATTAATTTGTTCTTCATAAGAGCTTGGATAAACTGGATTGAAGTAAAACATAATCCGAAAGGACTGATTTAGACCAAGTGAAGTGAAATATGAAAGTATAAACAAAGATAATTGAAAG